CTTCAATCAGATTAAGAAACATCCCTTTCGTCGCCATTCCCCAGAATGGGCCGCAGAACCCACTCAAAGAGGAAAAAAAAATATTTTTTTTCACAGAGGAACAGCAAAAAAAAAATTATTGGCGGAGTTAGGGTCTTCATTTTCAATACCCTGGCCGTAATGACTGCCCAGAAGTCCTGATTCATCGTTTTTTTCTTTCTTACCATTGGTTGAAGCCAAATGTTAGGAACAGTCTTTCCTTTGTTGTGCCATTCGCCAATGGCCCACTACATCCGTCGGTGTCAATGGTGTGATGTGTGTTATGGAGGCGGCCGTTACCTTACCTTCAGCTGCATTATCCGCATCAAGTTTATATTTAGCCATGATATAGACGTGAATATTCATTCTTTTTTGCAGTTTTCAAAATGAAAGAAAGAGAGTAATACAGGTAAATCTCCTTGTACCTTTTGAGAAATTTGATAAAGAAGAGATTGTTTTTTAGTTGTAGGGTGAAAAAGATATCTTTCCCACTCAGGATTCTGGTTTTTCTCTTTCTGAGTTCTAACAGAAAGAGATTTCTAGCCCAAACCACATGGGCAGCATTTTCCATTCCCATACGGTAAAGGTTTGGAATAAAAGATAGAACAGATGCCTATGAATGGAATTGGGCTGTCGAACGAGAAAACCCACTAGGAGTCTGCGCTGAAAGTTGCAAATCCATCAATTCACCCCAACCCCCTGAAACCCAAATGCTACGCTTACATGCATTTAAAAGGGCTACTCTGCAAAGGTGAACCTCGCTTAATAGGCGCAGGCGTCAACCCAGAACCACTGACATAGTTGCGCCGCGGCATGTCGATAACGACTACCGGGTTGCAAACGTTAGAGGGCGGATACAATTCGCAGGCAAAGAAGGCACCCCAACGCCAGATGTAGCACTCCCTAAAGAATTTCTTGTGTTCAATTGGTTGGCACGCCATCCCCAAGGGGGAAATCAACGCATTATTTTCTTTTTTGATGTGGCTTTTGGAGATTTTGATTTGGTAGCTACTTAAATTTCATACTTACTCCCGACCACATTTCCAGGGTAGAAGGCTAACCGGCCTAATTTCCAACAAAAAAACAAATAAACCAACTTTGCAGAGACTTTGGGGTATTAGAAGCTAGAAAGAAATATAGACAGACGCACCGCAACTGAGATCGGAATGGTTGAACGGTTATCGGTGCCATTGGGTAAACGTGAAGAGTCTTCTTTCTTAACCCGTACCTCGGGAGCAAAATGCGTCCCTCATCTCTCGATTAACCCTGGGTGATAGGGAATAAAAGGTTTGTAAAATTACTCTTGAAATAACCAAGTTCAGACGCATGAAAAGTTCAATTGTTTCAAGGCGCTTCCACAACCATCGGGCGCTGCATTTCCGCACCGTAACACCGAAGACAAGATGCCAATATGGAATTTAGGAAAATATGCTGCGCAAAGGAATTTTCTAAAATTATACATAACCCCGATTGCCCATCCTTAAAACTTTACGGCAAGATAATGAAACCATGCCCCAAAACCCAATATCAAGAAACACCGGAAAACCATAAAAAAAAAAAAATTAAAACGAATTTAATATTCAAGAAAATCCTAAAAACCACTTAAACGTGTATATGGCCAAATTAAATTCCATCCACAGCAATCGTGGTCCAACGGCTAAGATATCCGCCTTCCAAGCGGAAGACCCGGGTTCGACTCCCGGCGATTGCATTTTCTTTTTTTTTTCATTGAAGTGCTTTGCCGAAATCAATTTTCCCTTATTATTTTGAGGGAAGCCATGGACCAGCAAGTTCTTTTCTATACTGTTTACGGGTTCATAAGCTAAAAACGTCATACAGCACCTGGAACAGCAGAGTCGTACTAGGACAAAACTTTATCCAAGAAGGTCGTGTGACGCGTATCAGTGTACCATCAGCAGCAGTTTCTTTTATATATTGCACTTTAGTGTGAATGCCGCCAAAAAGGGGAGGCAGGGACCCTAGAGATAGTAACAATTATGCCCTCCAGTGGTGGAAATTAGATTTGACCGCTGAGGGGACTCAGAGAGGCGAAAAAAAAATCCATGTTCTGCCACCTACGAGATCCATTATAATTTCATTACCAATGCGTACTTCCCTATGCCCAACGGTAATAAAAAAAAATAATATAAAAACAAATTATATTTATGTATATTTATGTATTACTCTTGATCGCCCGTTCCATTGGAGTAACATCCATAAAAACACGAAAAACAAAAAAAAAAATATGGTGGTGTGGTGTGGCGTGGGGTCTTTTTTGGGTGGGGGGATATGTTTGATCGTACCCTCCTAATACACACCATGGAGTAAAGGGCGTGTGTGTTTGAGTGGGTTTTTTCTTTTTTGCTGATAATGCTGTGGAAGAAGAAGAGGCGAACCGGCATTCTGAGGGAAAAAATAAAATAATAATAATAAGGATAAATAAAGAGGTAATATGTGTGTGAGAGAGAGAGTAATTGTGTGGTGCCTCTGTTTGTAAAGAGTGGCATGGTATTACAGTGATGTATGCAGTCATTTTTGTTTATGGTTGTGAGTGAGTGGGTTTTAGATTCCAATTGTGGTGTAAATATTATGGTGATGCGTTGGTTCGTTTTCTTTTTCTGTTTGGAAGTGTGTTGATTATTGTGCAGTCTCTTTGTTTTGCTGATGATTTGTGGTATTGTTTTTGTATGTTGTCAGGCGTACACTATGTTTTTGGTGTATTTTGGTGTTCAAACTGCCTGGTAATGGTTTTATTATGATGAGAATACAGAGACACTTTGTGTGTATGAATACCGAGTAGGATATTGGGGTGTGTGCAGAGACGTTTATTTAATATTGTTTTGATACCATTTGTTTTCCACTTCTTCTAAGTTCAAGGTGTTGTTTCAATATCTGTGTAACTCTGGGTGTGTTTTATTGTGTGAGTGGTTTACTGTTGTTCCCCTCATTGGGTTGTGTTTGATTGCTGTTGTGATGTGTACTCTCTCTCTCTCTCTCTTTCTGTGTACCCACTACCTTGTGTGTGTTAAATGTGCGTCTACTTTTCTCCTTTTCCTCTTCTTCCTTGTTACCACAGATCCAAACAACCCACAGTGATAATCATGACAACGATGGTCATCCAACTGCGCCGTGTGGTGTACCTGTTAGCACTTCTCCAATGCTGTGCGTGTGTGGCATACGCAGAATGTGAAGAAATGGATTATGAGGATGCAATGAAGGATGCGGAAAACGTACTGGGAGAGTTACGAACCAACGCGCTGGGTTCTGTTGTGGATACAAGTATTTGTCTGTCCGAGTTGGAGGAGAAGGTGGATGTATGCAATAAAAGTAAGGAGAAAGTCGTAACTGTTGCGTCGGAGGCAGATAAGGTCGTCGAAGAGATGCAGGGTATGTTTGATGGAAAGGGCGGTGCACCCGTGGGAAAGAGTGCACCGAAAGATCTCACGGAATTAAAGAAAAAACTGGAGGAGGCCAAGGTGAAGGTGAACGCAACGGTGAAGGAAGTTAAAGACATGGCGACGTTAATCGCAGTTGCAGCGGGCGTGCAGGTGGATTGTCAGTCTTCATTTGGCAACCTAAGTGACTGGGTAAAACAGATTAAAGCAAAGAGGTGGTATTTTGATCACATACTGCGAAACAATTTTACGGGGTGTGTGACTGATGAAAGAGAAGAACTCTTGAGGGATTTGAATGACATAACCGAAGAGCTGTATAAAATTGAGCTGAATATGAGTGACAGATTCTATCGCTCTGCCGGAGTTAGGGAAAAGGCCGCCGAACAAATCGAGGAAGCGAAGAAGGAGATGAATAAAACAGTTGAGAAGTTCAATGCGACAGAAGCAAGCATCACGGAGGTCAGCGGAAAGCAGTCGGGAGATGGGAGTAACCTTAACGAAATCAAGAATGATGTGGTCTCAACCAAAGCAGTGTTGGAGACAATTATGGAACTCAATGTATCAAGCACTGGACCACGAACGGCGCCGCCCAAATCCAAATATAGAGGGAGGACATTTACTGTGAGTGACGAGGAGGTGGGCACAACAGTACGCCACGGTAAGAGGCGTGAAATTGTGCCGCAGAGGGATCCTTTGGATGTGCGAACAGAAGAGGCTATTACAGAAGCGAGAGTTAAACTGGGGGAAAGACAGGAAAAAGAAAGGATCAATGCCGAACAGAGGAGACGAGATGAAAAAGAAAGAAAGAGAGTGGAGAAAGAGAAAGAAAGAGGGAGGCTTGAAGCGCTCAAACGGGAAGAAGAAGCAAGACAAGCGAAGGAGCGCGATGATGCTGCGGCACAGGTGCGGGCCGAAGAGGAGAGCAGAATAAGGCGGGCGAGAGAGGAAAAAGAAGAAGCGGAAGAAAGAGCAAGAAAGGCAAAGGAAGAAGTGGAACTGGCGAAAGAAGCCATAAAAGGGTCAGACGATAGCCTTGGTCCTGCAGTGGTGCACAGTCCCTTAATGCTTCTTCTCGTATGTGTGTTGGGTTGCACACTCGTTTGCCAATCGGTGTTCCCATGACACAGTTGCACAGTTAACCCTTATTTGAGTGGATATGGATGCATTGTAAGGAAACTGTTCTTTTTATTGAATTTTAATGTTTTCTTTTTTTTTCCTTCTATCACGATAAATCTCTTGTTTGCATTTTTATGCTGGACACATCTATTGGACCCCCTATGGCACTCATCACATGACAAACCATTATTTTGTGAGGGGAGTGTCCTCTTTGTTTGATGGCATTGTTATCTGGGTTCTGCTTTGCCGGCATTTACTGCGCCCTCCTGATGAAGTGTGTGTATGTGTGTTCCGTGATATTAATAACTGTTGCTTTTACCCATGGGAATGGTATACAATCCCGATACGTTATGATTGCTGTGACTGAAATGTGAAGAATGGCAGGAGGTTCAAGACACACACAAACACGCACACTACCAACCTTCCTTCTCTTTGTGTGTGTGTGGACTGTCATCATGTGTGCATCATTCCCATTGCTCGCCCTGTACGAAAGACACACACACACCTACTGCTGGGAATTGTGTTATTGCCTCCTGGACATATTCACATGGTGATCACGGCTTTTTTCTTTTGTTTTCATTTTATTGTTTTTCCCTTGTGTGTGTGTGATTCATTACAATTTCATTGCACGTCTTATGTGCAGCTGTGTGTTTTTCTTTTGCGTTTCCAATACACCTTGTGTATCTTGTGTGTTCATTTTTATGGAATGTGGCTTGTGTGTTCATTTTTATGGAATGATTTCTTTTTTTTTCATTATATGCAAACTGCTGCAGGGTCATCAGGAATAAAGATATGGACACAGCACGTTCAGTACAGAATGATTTTCCGTTGTTAACCTTGGGGTGGTTTGGACTGTGTCCAGGCAGGGCAGTCACATTAAGTAATGAATTTCTTTTTTTTTTCTTTCTTTTGCTCTATTATTGTGTCTGCCTCACGCAGTCACTCTTTTTTTGCATTTTTATTTTGGTATAAAGATCGATGGGTTGTAGGTGTTTGAGTCTTTTTCTGTGTATTTTTGGGTTGCTACTCACACCGCCCACGCAATGAAAACACATTTCTTTGTTCTCACCTTCTCTCTCGGTGGTGTCACTCACGGTATTACCACGAACATATTTCTGCTCTTGTGGTGTGTTGTGTGGCTTGCTTAAGTGACCGCAACCTGCGGGGAGGTGGAGTGAGACTGTTCCGCTTCGGCTTCACGTAATGAGTCTGTTTGTTTTTTCTTTCTTTTTGGGTGTGTTGATGTGCTGGTGTGGGTGATTGTTTTCCTCTGATGGGAGTGGCAGCTGTGATTATTGTATTGTGAGTGCTTTGTGTGCTGTTGGTATCCTGTTGTTGTTGTTCTTCTTCCTCTGCTGCTCTTGTGTTTTTCTGTTCCTCTCTGTGGGTGTGACTCCGTGTGCATTTTAGTGAATGCCGCAGTGCCTCTCTGATATTCAGCATGTGAGACTGTCATTGTGTGTGTGCACTGTGAGTGGGAAGGACATTTTGTGTTGCTGGACCACTCCACTGCGGCCTCTGTGGGGTGCACTGAATGACGGTGTGGTGATATCCATCGACGTGTGCGTGGGCGACTGTGGTGGAGGTGTAGTTCCTTTACGCTAGTCCACAGCCATGCGGTGCGATTGGAACCACACATGAATGGATTAATGAGATTCCCTCTGTCCCGAGTTACTATCTAGCGAAACGACAGTCAAGGGAACGGACTTGAAGGGCTAAGCGGGGAAAGAAGACCCTGTTGAGTTTGACTCCAGTATGGCTCTGTGCGGCGACATCTGAGGTGTAGTATAGGTGGAAGCGCAAGCACAAATGAAATACCACCACTCGGAACGTTGCTTCACTTATCGAATGAAGAGACCAATGGGTTTCGCGTGGTCTGTGGG